ACTGTTATGACTAGGAGCTGATAATTTAAAATGAAATTTAATTTTGATTTTGAAAAAAAAACATGTAATTGTTTAATTGCCTAACTACTGCACTGTAACCACATAAATCTACCGGGTAAATCGGTGAAAAAAACTGCAAAAGATACATCTTTTTGTCCATGTTTGTGTGACATCATGCAAAGATTGAACATTACGAGCGCTGTAGAAGAAAGTTAAATTTCATATCCGAATACTATATTGCCTGTTGCTAAAGTTTTTTATTATTGCAAGAGTTCAGGAATTCTGTGATTGATTCTTGGACCACTTTTTGGTACCCATAAGTCACATTCAAAAACTGCTAATTAAGATGAACAACATTTTTGGAGGTATGTTGGTTATGTCCCATCAATTGATGGGCACTTGAACAACTTCTGATGTCAAACAGTTATAACTGTAGTATTAGACTTGTAGCAATAGTTGGCTATTTTATCAGTAGTATTTGTTCCATGAATTCTGCACTATAGTATTGCATTTCCACTTGCCAAAACAATACTTTAACATTTGAATGGCAGTTAACCGTGCAGAATTTTAGCAAACAAATTTTTTGCCAATTTTATCATATCATAAACATTCCCTTTTCTTTACTTATCACTCCTCTATCGGAACTGTTCGGTGGCTAATATACAACAAGTGGAAACAAAAAAAAAAAAAATCAAATACATATAATCAAGTGCAGACAGAATCAAATCAAATACCGAATAATCTACAAGAGACTGCATTCTCAATCAGTTGGAACTCTGCCAACGCGAAGGATTCGGCTGGCGCCAAATTCATAGCATATGGAATCGTGGACTACGTTCCTCTTATTTCTTTCTTTGATATTTCTGAATGACTGCGGTTCTGTTGACCAAATTTAGTGAGATGGTGGATTGTTTGTTCTGTTTTATTCCCGGAATCTCTTTAAAAAGCATTTTTTCACTCTACTTATAACGGTTGTTTAGGTGATCGTACTTTGTTTATTATGCCTATCCTGTGAGTAGGCACTAAATTTTCTTTTGCTTCGATATGCTTGTCACTAAAGTTTATTCTTTTCACTAACTTCTTGCCGTAGTTTTGAGCAAAGAAAATCTGTTGATATTTTTTTGGAATATAATGATTTTCAGGCAGTTACTAAATCTGTTCATCATGAATCGTTAAAGGAGGAAAACAATGACATCTATTATAAAGTTGGAAGCACTGTCTGGAGTGCTGGACGATGGTCCTTTGTGTTACTTGTTGCAGGTTGTACTTATAGCGTTTCTTGTTCTCCTGTTATTGATTTTTTCTTCGCTGAGAAACAAAATTTTACACCTCGTCACTACGACATAGCCTACATTGGTTTTTTTAGTAATTTTAAAATAAAATTTTGGGAATTTCGCGGGCAGTAGATACGAGCATAATATGCTCTTGGTGGAACTTTGAAGAGAAATTGTCTTCATTTTTTTTTTTTTTTTTGAAGAAAGGAGTTCATCTTATTAAAATATATGCGGAAACCTATTTCAAGAAATTCAGGAAAATGACTGAAGGAGACAGCACAAAATACCGTTCGCACTGAACGTCTATAAAAACACCTTGATTTTTTTCCTATAATGGTTTCCTTTCGACAAAAATTATTTGAGGTCGATCAAGTCCATTTTCTCCTCGACTGTGGTTGGGATGAACGGTTTGATATGACTTATATAGAAGCGGTAAAGCGTCGAGTTCCACAAATAAATGCTGTTCTTTTGTCTTACGCAGATATACCTCATATTGGAGCTTTACCATATCTTGTTAGAAAATGTGGTCTTAACTGTCCAGTTTACGCAACGGTTGGTTTCTTCCGTTATTACATTGTTATTCTTCCGTTACTATTCGCTATTATTTATATTTTCTCAGTTACCTTATTAATAGTTTTTTTTTTGGAAAATATTTCTTCAAAAACTTCAACTGCTCGTAAAAGGCAAACTACTTTATTCAGGTTCCTGTTCACAAAATGGGACAAATGTTTCTTTACGATTGGGCTAACGGCCACAGTAGTGTAGAAGATTTCACTCTTTTTAATTTGGATGATATTGATGCAGCATTTGAACGCGTACAGCAAGTTAAATATAGCCAAACGGTGCTGTTTTGTTTAATTTGTGTGTAACTTGAGGAATTTTATTAGGAGAGGAGCTCTTAT